TGCTGGCTCAGCAGGATGGGAAAAAGTTGAGACCGATTGAGTACATGAGTAAGAAGATGCCATCGAAGAAGTTGGCTAAGTCCACCTACGAAAGGAAACTCTATGCTCTCTACAAGGCACTTGTCCATTGGAGACACTTCCTTTTGGGAAGGTTCTTCTATCTGATGACTGATCATCAGACCCTCAAATGGATCAAGACTCAACCGGCTCTTTCTGATGCACTCAAGCGATGGATTGAGGTCATAGACCAATATGACTTTAAGCTTGAGTACTTGAAAGGAGAGTACAACAAGGTTGCAGATGCACTATCCCGTAGAGCAGACTACCTAGGTGCGCTAGTTTCTGAATTTGGCGTATCTAATGAAGTAACTCAATCATTGGTGGGAGCCTATCAGGAAGACCCTGTCACGATGGACATCATCCGCAAACTTCAGGCAAAAGACAAGGCCACAAAAAGTGAGTTTGTGATGGTGGATAGGCTAATCTATCTTGATAAGGCCGGAGTAAAGAGATTGGTAGTTCCATCTAGTGAACAGTTGCGTTTAGGAGAATGTCATGACGCAACTGGGCACTTTGGCTACAAGAAAACGAGTGCTAACTTAGTACAACGATATTGGTGGCCCAGAATGTTAGATGACGCAAAGAAGTATGTTGAGACCTGTCAGGTCTGTCAGCGGGACAAGCCGCGAACTCAAGCACCGCTTGGGTTATTCAAGCCTTTACCTATTCCTGATGGTCCAGGATTGAGTGTTTCCATGGATTTCATGGACACTCTTGTGATCAGCAAGAGTGGTAAGAGGCACATTTTCGTCATCATTGACCGATTCACCAAATACACTAGATTTATTCCAATGCTAGAGACAGCCAGGACAGAATACGTCATCAAGTTGTTCAAGGACAACTGGGTAAGGGACTTTGGTTTACCCAAGACCATCATTAGTGACCGAGACGTCCGATTCACAAGTGAGCTGTGGAAGAAGACTGCGGAACAGATGGGCAGTCAACTTCAGATGACTTCAGGGAATCATCCCGAAGCAAACGGACAGGCCGAACAAATGAATAGAGTTGTACAACACTTGCTGAGGCATTACATCAAGCCCAGCCAGGACGACTGGGATGAGCAGTTACCTCTCCTCGACAGCCTGTACAACAATGCTATACACAGTAGTATCGGTGTTGGTCCTAACCAGCTGCACTTAGGATGGAAGCCTAGATCAGCATTAGACTTCCTCCTACCTGAAACTGACCCGCTGCAACTCCAGGCACACTTGAATACGGTGTGCAATAAGAGAAGTTGCTGCAAGACGTTGTTGAACGTATGAAGAAAGCTCAGCAAGCTATGATTGCTTCTGAGAATCAACATCGAAGACAGTCCACATTTCAGGTAGGGGAACGTGTCTGGGTCAAGGCTAGTGAGTTAGGACAGGAATTCGGAATATCTCGCAAACTGATGCCTCAGTACTTTGGTCCCTGGGAAGTCTTGGATGTAGTGGGAGATGAGTTGGATGGTCCCACATATGTCATTCGTATCCCTGGACACCTACGCACTCACCCAGTCTTTCATGCCTCAAAGCTTGCACCTTTCGCTGAGACTGATCAATTCCCTTCCAGGAGATCGATGCTGCCCCCAACTATGGATGGACAAGTAGACATTGACGACATTGTGGAACACAGAACATGTTATTCGTTAAAACTGGACATTTTATTTGTCATGTTTTGAACGAATCCACTTTCGGCTTCAGTTGACTAGATATACCCATGCCCATTATCTCCCCTCAGACATGTTGTTGGATGTTCGTCGGGATCCGGACTTTATTTCGAGGTGCAATTTCAGGCTTGCCCATCCACTCATCCCAGATGTTGAAGTCAGGATCCGGGCAAACATCTAATGCCCCTGTTCTAAGGCGTAATCAATGTAGGCATACCCATTCTCTCCGTCGAGACATTCTTTTGGATGTTTAATGAGATGTGGAGGTATTTAAAAGTGTACTCGTAGACAGGCCTACGCACTTTTGTGCTGACATCCATACTTGTTTAGCCTGAAGTTTATGACATCCATACTTGTTGAACCCGATTCAGAACCAAATGTCATTGGAGAATTGTGCACACCGTCAGCACACGTCCCCAGTATCATACACTTTAACTTTATTTCATTCAATTCGTGTACTGTGCAAACGGTCTATCTTGCATGAGAAACTCGGATAGCAGGGAAGTGTGTCGACATCCATACTTGTTGAACATAGAGTTTATGACGGCAGGGAATTGTGCTTACATCCACACTCAATGGGTGGCGTGTGGCAGGTGGCCTACAGTTTATGCCTGATTGGCCACGACAAGCGGGAGCTTGCCACCAGGCACCACTGCCGTTCAGGCCAGGCCGTGGCCAAACCCGCACAGCCAGGTGTTTCCAGTCTCGTCGAGTCCTTATTTTATTAGATTGTCAGAATATCGCAATCCCTGGTGGCAGTGCCCGAGCAGGACAGGAGATAACTCTCGCGTCTCTAGCCAGTGGAAATGACCCTTCCAACCCTGGCACCGATAAGAGCAGCGCAGTGCTGTCAAGGGTGGCACATAGTGCGCCTGCCCTGAACGAGGTCGGCCAGATTAAGCCTCCTGGCAGTGCTCTTATGGGTGCTACATAGCGCGCAGCGTCATGCCCACCATCATGCGTGCGAGGAATCCGGACGTCATTGAGGGATGGCAAGACACGCGAGAACACAAACGCCTTCATTTAGGAAATTTGCATAGCGACATCACAATACAGAGGCAACATGTCCACGTAGCAATCGACCCACCATTATGCGAAGTGTGTATCATTAACGGACGACAAGACATGCGAGAACACAAATGCCCTCATTCAACGAATTTGCACACCGACATCACAAGACAGGGGCAGCAAGTCCATTTCAAGGTTGACTTTCCAGACAACAAAACGCACAGAAAGAGAATCGCACAAGGCATCGACATCTATACTTCGGATGCCGGCGGACTACCGCCTTCTTGCTCCCCCGAGAACACAACCAAACTCCAGGATGGCGTTGAACACAACATGCCGCAAAAGGGGATCGACGAGACGTTCTAAAATTTGGAACGCGGAAGGTAGAGAAGGTTGATTTCATAGCAGCGGAATGCCAAGCTCAGAGTCCACAACAAGAAGATCACCGCTTTTCAAAACAACATTTGAAAGAAAGAACGAAATGTCATGTCATGAAGAAGATGTCTCATCCGAAAACAACAACATGTGTCATGTATTCGAAAATCACTAGACGCTACCAGCTAAGACAACAACCTTCCAGAACACAGCGCACCAGTTGTCGTCTAATACGCGGGATTTCACGAGGAGTGAACGGAAAAGGCGGCCTATCACCACGTTGGAGCAGCGTGGCAAACATCAACATGAACACCCCGCAACTCGTCCCATCTGCTTGTCTAGGAACTCCTTCCACGACAACATTCGCGGCCATCAACCTCCAACTCCCTTCGGATCTACCCAGTGGCGCCCGGACTTCCAAGTACTTCACAATTAAATCAAAAACGCCGTGGTAGAAATCCTTTTCGGCGTTCACACGTGCAAACGAGTCAAAAATCTCCAGGACACCGTCCCTCAAGTTCACAGACAGAAGGACCCAGTGGTCATTGTCTTTGTGCACTGGCAGGCACAAAGACAATATCGTGTTGTAGGAGATCGACGTCCCGTGCCCACCTTCTCACCCCGATGTTCCCTTGCCGTTTCAACTTGTCGAAGAAAAACGTGTTGAAATTGAAGACACGAAGCCCGGTGGACAGCTGACGGCGCCGACACGCTGTGGACCCTAGGAGAGCCATGTAGAAGTTGACGACCTTGTCATTAAGCTTGCCATCAATATCCCAAAGGGCGTGGAAATCCCTCGCTGCAACTCTCAGTTGTCCGTCTGCAAGTGTAGCCAGGACAGCCTCAGGCGGCACGGCCCCGCGCAGAAGGTCATGCAGAACCTGCGAGCTTGGACGCGCAGCCACGGTGACGAATTCTCCCCACCGTGTCAGAGGCCCTTCGATTCTCCTTGCACAACACCGAGCAACACACACGAGGGGCGGTGAGAAACCTTGGACTACGAGCTGTTGTCTGCAGCATGACGCATTGCCAAAAACTTCTCATACATATTCTGGCCCCTACTCACAGATCTCGGGTACGACCCCTTGTCAGGAGGAAGCAAAGAAAGACACTCGACAATGGGCTTGTCATGTGCCTTCCTGCCGATCTCAACACCAATCCCCGATGCCTTCAACATATCTTCATTTCTTGACGATAGTCGAGGGGATTTCCGCAACAAGTGTGCATAATATCTCGAGTTCCTTCTTTTGCCAGACGCCCCCATCCCTGTAAAACAGAAGAGAAAGAAAAAGGAAWATGAATACATGTCCCTACCACCGAATTGCCCCCCGTCACAAAAAACACCGGCAAAACCAGGAAAGCAACTGGACGCGGAATCAGAGGAAAGGGCTCCGGCCGACCGGGTTGCAGGTACGCGATCATGAATGCCAGGCATGCAGGTCGACCATACTCATGGACTCGAAGCGTATGAGGCAGAAGAACCAAGCAGATCAAGGGTTGTTGGCACGAGTTTGCGATGATGTCCATTCCACACGTTAGCGAAGAAAGGCATAGGACACGTAGACGTCGGGGCCATTCTGGCACACGACAGGAATTGGACGATAGAAAAAACGACGCGAAGGACAACGAGGAGGCTGCAGCCACTGCGAAGGCAATCACCCAAGGGTTGGAGACTGCAATGCGGGAAGGGGAGAAGCACACAACAAGATAGGCGACGAAGTGCGGATCCTGGCGGACTTCCACAGATCGCATAAGGATACCTATGTCCGCCCGCCGCGCTAGTGGACGAGTGGAAAGCGCAATACAAAAGTCTCCAACCCACACTGTTTGACCAGCCGTTCCATCACTATTCCTTAACCCCAACCCGGTCTCGCGAATAGTGCAGAAACAACATCAAATGCCCGACAGCATCCGCAAATCGGGGACGACAGTGGCGTCAGTTTCGCCAAATGTGAGAAGACGACGGAAGCCTGAATGTTGCATCCGTGAGCAGAACAGCGCGACAAGAAGCAAACCGATCAGCGCTTACCAGCCCGCTTAACGTCTCCGGATAACGACGCCGACTGCCTTGCAGGACTTCTGAGCACCTCCGCAGCCGCAGGGTCGTCCCCATACTTGACCTCGCTGTCGAATTGTCGGCCGCCCCCAAGATCGTTCTTTGTGTCGCCGATGAGTTTGTCGGACTCCGCTAGAGGCCCTGTACCCGACAACTCCATGGAACCAATCGCCGGTCGACCGGAACCTGCATTGCCCTCGCCGTTCTCCAGTGGAGGAGGGGACCTATTCCGCGGACCGAGGATGCCATGCACGACCTCATCAATGAGCAGCCGACCTGCAGGTTTCGCAGGACTCAGCGGCAGTTCAATGTCATGGCTCTCGACTGCGGTTTCTACAACACCCCGCAAAGGGGAAACGTTGTAATTTTCGCCCTCCTCGGAAAGTTGGATAGCGAGCTCCGTCTCGATGGCCATTGCAGGTGTCCCGCACTCAGCATCCTCGTCGTTGCGCCCACCGTACAACCGGATGAACTCGCCGGCCGACTCTCCGGAGCCTGCGTCTGTGAAATCGTCGTCGTCGCCACAACTTTCCACCCGGTCCTCCGTGCCCTCCACCTCACTGCTTAAATTGCCTTCCACACCGCTTCCGTCATCAAGCCTTTTAGTGACCCCCATCTGCTTGTCGTCTCTACCATCCCCCCCCCCGACCCTCTCCGACCCCTTGTCTGCTTTCTCAACACACGACAAACCCGTCTCACATGCCTTGTCCAAGTCACTCTGCCCCGGCCCCTCGACGACGGACTCCCCTGCCGGCGCAGCATTGGCTTCCCCAGCGGAGCTGCTCGTCGAAGTCCGGATGCCAGCGGACTTCAAAGATGTGAGGGCTTCAGCGCCCCACCTTCCAGCCTCGGACACGGTCTGCGATCCGTCCTCTGTCGCTGATCGCTTTTCCACTGTAATGTGTATCCCGTCCAACTTGCTGTCCTCCACAACATCGACCCCCCAGCGAGAACGGTCGTGGCCGCGTCGCGCCATATCGTAAAGTTGGGCTGTCGGAAATAGGGAGGCTGGTTCTTCCGAGACTGTAGTCTGGATCCCGGTGAACTTCCTGGTGGCCTTGTCCCCTCCACCCGCAGGTTCTGCAGAGCACGTCCCCTGTTCCACTGGTTCGACATCTCCCGCATTGAAGACGACACTGCCGGTCGGGCGATGCACCTCTTGCGTCGTGTCCTTCCCAGTGGCCTCGTCCCCTCCGCCCGTCCCTCCGTCCCTGCCTCCACGCCCCCTTCCCCCGTCCCCCCCCCCCCCCCCCCCCCCCCCCCCCCCCCCCCCCCCCCCCCCCCCCCCCCCCCCCCCCCCACCAGACCCCCCTCCTCCCCTCGGGACACCCGCGGGGGGGGACACCTTCCAATCGACCTTCCCCTTCAAAGGGCTGGTGTCGAGGTCGTAGAAAGCGTCTTCCATTTCCAACCACCTTTTGGCGCGTAGTTCTTGAAACAGTCTGTCGGTGGTGTAAGCGATGGACAGGTCGTGCCCGGTGACCCCGGGATTTTCTGCCCTAACCTTCTCTGCCACCATTTCCCTAGCCAAGTCCAGAAATTCGGACACAGACAGGCGCGCGTATGACGCCCATTGCCCGTCGTCATTGATCATGGTCATGACCCACTCGCCCTTCAGAACCGCAGGCTGTATGGTCCCTGGATGCCAAATCATGTCGTGGCCCCAATCCGCCTCGCCGGACCTGGTGTGGTCATGGCCCTCAAAGTGGATGCTCTCGTCGCGTCGAGACAGGTGATCGAGAGGAACAAAACTCCCAGGACGCAACGGGGCAGCGGCAGCTCCAACAGGGGGCAGTCTTGACGACAAACTTCTTCGATGTCTTTCCCGAGGTTGTCGTTAACGTCTGTGTTGTCTGCGGGGGTTGGCTGGTCGACGGGCCGGCTGTTGAAGAACCGGCGGTGGTCGGGCCAGGCGAGGGCGCGTAACCGATGTCGAGACTCTCCGTATTGCTGCCCTCCTCTGTCATGCCAGCTTCAAATACAATCCCCGTTTCGTCCTCATCCTTGGTGGATACCATCGACGCGTAGTCGTGGTACCTCAAGATCTGGATAGACTCTTCGAAGTACAGACCCGCCAACCTGTCGAGAAAGTTCTTCGCATTTCTCCGATCGGTGCCATGGTAGTTGTCAAGCAACGACAACATGTGGTCCCTGCGTCGCATGTGCTCCTGGTCGGCTTCACTTTTCGGCCGGGTTTCCAGGAAGAGGAAGTGGAAAATCTTGTTTCTTTTCCTCTCACTCAATTTGAACCACATGTCCGTCGACGGATCCCAGACGCGCACCACTTTCTCGGTCCGCACGGCGAACTCGCATCGGCTGGATCCGGAGTTGACCTCGATTTTGACGTAGTCCACCATGTACTGCAACAACTCCGAGTTTCCTTCCAACGCGACGACATGACGCCCGCTTTGCAACACCTCCCAGACGACTTGCGCATGTGGTTTCCCGATAAACGTGACACCTTCCCCTCTTTTGCAGAGGAACGCCAACAGATTCGTCAATTGCCCCAGGTTCCGCTCCATCTCTTTGTACACCTTCCCTTCGTGTCCCGTGGTCAACAACGGCCACTCGCAAGGATGGAAAGGCATCTCAGATATGTCCGTGGGAGTGACTTTCTGATGGACCCCCACCGCCGCAGCGTCCCCCCCCGACAGCCTCGCATCGTAAACGACCGCAGTGTTCTCTCGAAGGTCGTCACCTTTGAAGAGAATATACATGCGGTCCTCTATGTAGTACCAGTTGTGGCCCATGGGAATAGTCTTCTTCTGTTGGGCCTGCCGCACCCACCTCCCAGCCATTGCCCTGACGACGGAAAGATGCCGAAGGCTTGTCATGAATGACAAGTCCCAATGTCGGGGAACGAAAACCACCAGCGTCCAACTCCCCGGGAATAACTGTCCGAGTAGAGTGTTCAAACTTTGGAAAGCAGACGGCGGCCACTGCGAGAGATCGACCGGTTTGCACAGGTCGAGAACGCAAGTGTGACTTTTCGTGGCCACGGCCACCTTCTCGAGTTCAACCACCCGGCTCAAAGCCTCCAAGGGGTCGACGGCAAAAGGAGCAACTGAGGTATTTCCCCTGTGTCTGTCCAGAGAATGTTGAGCATGCCCTCTGTGAGCGTCACCTCCCGTTGCTTCGCCCTGCCGCCGTTCAACACGGGCACGACCTTGTTCCACCACTTAGGGGTCAACTTTTCGTTGGCCGCCAGTTTTTCAGTGGCCTTGATGTTCTTGTCGTCGTCGCATCCCATGTACAGAGGGCATTCCCTGAACAGCGACGCGTCCACCACAAGCTTCCTACTCCCGTCCCACAGCCCTGCATCCATTCCCATGGCCTCGAACTCTGTCAGAATCTGTTCCCTTTTTTTAACTAAATTGAACCTCGCGGTCCATTCGSAGTCCGGTTTGACCTCATGTTTGAACTTGTAAAAGTTCCATAAGCGGACCAAAACCCGGTCGCACTTAGCCAGTTGCACAGCCTCCGTAATGCCGAGCTTCCCTTGCTTGGCCAACGAGGAAGAGCCCGACTGGACCCAGACCACCTCGCAGTTCATGACCTTCCCTAACAAACGGCGTTTCTCATTGTCTRTAAGGGATTCCATAATCTTCCAGCACTGTACATCCGGTTYCGGGACTTGCACATACCATTTGCCGGRCTCTTTCTCCTTCTTGCCCTTCTTCGTGGGGGCTTCCACATGGACATTGTAAACCACTTCTTTCGTGCCCGTCTTCTCATTGTCGCGGAAGTCCACACCCTCCATCACGCCCTTCACCTTCTTCTTCTTGGTTATCCACTTCGCCCCGTCGGGGGCCAGTAGTCTCCCCGTCTCCCACTTCCCGAGAAAAGCCATCCCGTCCTGCCAAGCTTTTTCTCCGGCCATGACCAGCGGGAAGTAACATCGAAGGGCTGCATTCTGCCTCTTCGCAGCGTCCTCCTCCTTGCTGTCGGCAAGAGTCCACAGGTGTATGTAGGGTGTTTTGTGGAGCGCAACCGCGCAGAACGCCCGCCAGTCTTCAACTTGTTTCTCTTTCCCCCGCGGGTTTCCCATGACCGCTCTAGGGCAACCCTTTTGCTGCCAAAACCAGCGGATATCTTGCATCGCGAGTTTGAGTTGTCGAGGAGGGGCCTTGAGGTCCTTCTTGTTGTCCTWYGAGCTGACAATGAAGTATCCACCGAAGTCRTCGTCGRAGAAGTACACCATGCAGGCGGGCCAGTTATCGAAGTTGTACTTGTCCGCGACGTCGGTCCCAAGCAACAAGTTGCCCGCCGCGGCGTTGTGCTGCCTGACCACCGCATAGTAGTAGTATTCGCGCGCCAACTCGTCCTTCCATTCCTCGGGCTTCAGCCTTCGCGCAGGCACATTGTCCCGCGATCTCTCCAGCCCGAGGGGAGCCAGCTTCAACGTGGGCAGCTCGTACGAACTCTGCTTATCCTGGGCTGCCCTGGTTATAGCGCGCATGATCCACTGCATAAGCACTGGATCGAGGGAACGCTGGTTGTAAGACGGCTCCCACTGTCCGATCGGGAGCACCTGCCGCGGGTTGATAAGAAATTCCCTTTTAGTCCGAACGCCGCTGTCCCACTCCAAGAAATAACGGGCCTCAATATCGATGACTCTCCCCTCGGACACAATGGCGGCCCCTGATTCTCGAGTGCTCGAAGACGGCCTTTTTGTTGCTGACGTCTCGCCTCCTCCCTCTGCGCCCTTCCTTTTACGTCCTGCCGATCGAGGTGTGTTTGTCTTCGTTTTTTTCATTCCCTCAATACTTTCCTCCCGCGAACTTGCACCACGCTTTGCCTGAGTTCGTCTCACGCCCTCCTCACCACCGCACCCCACTTCTTGAAGACGAACGTCTTCACCGACCACGGGACGAGAACCCTTGGTGGGCGTCGACCACTCCTTCCGAAGTGAACAGTCTGCCAGCCGCTCCTGAATACGCAGCGCTGAGACCCGAGTCGGTGTCGCAAGCGAGGCAACCGCCACCAGGGCCTCGTCCTCTTCGTCGGTGTCGAAATTCCCCCAATTGTCGCCACGGGACATCTCCCGCGAACACACGACCCCCGAACCCTCCGCTCCCATTGTCGCACCAGTAGAACCTGCCCCGGTGCCCTGCTGAATGGGTAGAGACAACTCCAAATCGCTTTGAACATCGCACGTGGTGTCCAGGCGGACCCGCTTCTCTGACAGTATGTCGAAAAACGCGAGGGCCGTCATGGCGGCTCTCACCGCAAGTTCGCGGTAGAAAGGGGTGTTCATGGCTCCTGCGCCGAAGCCTTGCTAGAGGGACCAACTCAAGTCAGCCCCCTTCGAACTTTCAGTAATGTGAACCTTCGAGCTGAAAACGACCAGCATGAGGAAGTGGTGGACGTCTTCTTTCTTCGCCTCCTGCCAGCCCGAAACAGGACCCAACAGTCGACGCCCTTTTTTGTCTTCCAAAAAAATGACGGGACCGCACGGCGGGTCTGCAGGACACGACACATCCCCGCAACACCAGTCGACAAACCATTTCGTCTCCACGAGACGAGACCACTTCTTGGGGGTCCGCGACTCTCGCCCCGAGGTTTCCGCCGGCAGCTCGTCTTCCTTAACCGCCAACATCTTGGCTGCACAAGAGCAGGAAAAACAAAGACAGACACACACTGTCAGGCCATTCGCTGAGAGGCAGCCATGAAGTGTTCAATATCGCTGCGGAAGCACACCACCAATCGGACGTGAAAGATGCGCAGCAGCTGTTCCTGGAGACCCAAACAGCGGGAGAGTTATGATAAACGGCGAGAGTGAACCAGGCGACTGCCCGCGCGAGCGACCTGCTGTCGGGCCCTGAACGAAGGTGGTCCGGTGGCTAGCGCAAAAATAGTGACACAGAGGACGGAGCCGCTGTTAGGGGCTCATACAATGAGTCTCTCGCACTGACTCTCATTCACGAACTTGGCCGGGATCCGAACTATGCGCAGCAGCGCATGCAACGGTGACGGAATTATGGCACAGTATCCGGCACCGAGTCTCTGGCACGGAGTCTCATTCCCGAACTCCGCTGGCATCCGGGCTGCGGCGGGACGAAGTACGCCAGCATCCGAACTTCTCACACGGCGCGACAATGCGGCTTGCCTGTGGTCAGACCGCCTGGCGGTGCTGGCCCGCTCGAGGTGCGCTTTGTTTCGCGCTGCTAGGCTGAAGTCCGGATACCGGCGAACTTCACACATGGAGGCGGCGGGAGCGGATTGTGTATATAGTGCACATAGCACCAACGACCAAGAACCCTATGATGAGCAACACACACGCCGTGCCAGCCAATCAGTCATTCACATCATGCCTCAACGCACGGCCACAGAAGGGACAAAACCAGGAAAAGGATATTAGAAGCAAAAAAGGAAAAAGAAGAAGGTAAGAACAAGCAGATAAACCAAACTAGCGCAAGCGACTGCTGGAGGACGATTCGTGTTGTGCGTCAAAGTCCGCCAGCATCCGGACTTGTCACTGCGGCACTGTGAGAAAAAACAAAGCAGCACTCTATGCGGCCTGAAGCCCTCGGGGGTGAGTGCGTTCGGCGGCGCCGCCTTCAGGACTTGGATGCTGTCATACAGGTGCCCTGTGTTCCATGCTGCCGGGATGAAGTCCGGATGCCGGCGGACTTCAGCCATGCAGCCGTCGAAGTCCGCCCGCATCCGGACTTGTCACTGTGGCACTGCGAGAAAAAACAAAGCAGTACTCTATGCGGCCTGAAGCCCTTGGGGGTGAGTGCGTTCGGCGGCGCCGCCTTCAGGACTTGGATGCTGTCATACAGTTGCCCTGTGTTCCACGCTGCCGGGATGAAGTCCGGATGCTGGCGGACTTCAGCCATGCAGCCGTCGAGATTGTGTCGGGTTCATGTTGTGCTGTCTTGTTCCGCACCCGCGGCGAATTTGTCGCAGGAAAATGACGCCATATCGGTCGTCGTCGGGCTGCGTCGTCACAAGTCGAGGGAATCCTGTCTACAGATCGAGTGCCTGTCCGCAACTCTCGGGATTCCGTGAACACGGCAGTGGCTTGCCAGGGAGGGTTCACACAAGCCACGTGAATGCGGGTTGTATGTGCTCGCAGTTCTGGCAGAGAGAGAGAGAGAGAGAGAGAGAGAGAGAGAGAGAGAGAGAGAGAGAGAGAGAGAGAGAGAGAGAGAGAGAGAGAGAGAGAGAGAGAG